CCAAAATTCCCATAGTTCAGGGTCCTTAAGGTCATGCAGGATTCATATCATCAACAGTAGGGATATGGCGGTTTAGAACTTGTTAGGGTCTAGGCATGAAGGTTGAGCTACCTTGAGGCTACCATAACCTCCTTCTTTGCAGAGCTTTAAACATACTGTAGAGTTCATGAGGACACTGCAAAATAGCTTGGGCAGGCTATGGTAGGGTTTGCCTTAACTCTCAAGGCCCACAGCTCAGCTCTAAGGAAGTATATAACAGACTCGTGATTCGGAACCGCAAACATGTAGGTGTTGCAAGGTTAAGGTGTGGTTTTCTGCAACGTAAAACCTACAAAATACACGCTAAACTCTTCAAGCAGGCCCTGAACCTTAAGCCCTAAACCCGATACTAAACTCCCCCACTAGGCCCGAAACCTCAAGCCCTAAGCCGCTAAACCCTCAACTCCTCCAGCAGGCAAGAGGCGTTCTATACTTAGGGTCTTTTTTACGGTAGCCCAGAAAAGATCTACAATGGAGACCATAGTATAGGTAGACCCTAAACCCTAAACCACTAAACCACTAAGCCCTAAGCCCTAAGCCCTACGCCCTAAGCCCAAAGCCCTAGACCCTAAGCCCTAAGCCCTAAGCCCTAAACCCTAAGCTCTAGACCCTCAACCCTAAACTCCTTCCCCCAGTAGGCGAGAGGCGTGAACATCAGCGAGTCGATTCCGGCGGCTTGTGCGGCCACCATGAACCTCCGGGCTTCCCCAATAGGGTTTAGGGTTTAGGGGTTTAGGGTTTGGGGTTTAGGGTTTAGAGGTTTAGGGTTTAGGGTGTAGGGGTTTGGGGGTTTTGGGGTTTAGGGGTTTAGGGGTTCAAGGGTATAGGGGTTTAGGGTCCAGGGTTTAGGGTCTACCCAGACCTCCGGGAGTACCTCGGAAGGACATCCCTTCATGTGGGTTCTTTTTTTAGAACCTTTAGTGGCATAGCGTCCCCAAGTTTCGGGGTTCTATTTTCTAGATCCTCCCCGGCTGGGTATACGGGTTCCCTCTAAGAGTTTCTAAGTGAAGGTTTAGGGTTTAGGGTTCAAGATCTTTTAAAGCTCCTTAAAGGGTTTCTTTTAGGTTTCCTCACGGGGTTTGTTTAGAGCTTTGGGGCTCGGGTTCTTTATAAGTGTTCCTCGAAGTTTGTTGTTCAGGAATCCATAAAGGAGGGTTTAGGATCTTGGGATTCAAGCGTCCAGGTCGTCATGGTCTAGGGTTTAGGGTTTAGAAACTTTGGCCTACAAACACCTTTGCTGGAGGCCCTTTCAGTTGGCCTGAACGGGAGGACGGAACGTGTTAACATTCTTTCCCTCATATATTATCTAGACTCTAAACGTCCAGTATATGGGCAAGCTAGAAACAATAACGCATGTTTCAACTTTTTGGCTTGGCTTCTGCTCCAAGTATATATTGTATAGGTAAGCATACATCAATGACATGTCGTTTCTTGAATGGCCCAAGGGCTCCAGGTACCTAAAGAGCAGATTGGCGGACTGCGCTCTGCGGGAACTCTACGGGTTCTACAGTCTCTCCCTCTCGTCTCTCCCTCTCGCTCTCTCTCTCGCTCTCCCTAAAGCTGTGTACTCGTCATCCACCCAACACAAACTTCTACCCCAAACTTGCCCCACACCCAAATCCTAAACCCTAACCCAATTAACCCTACAACCCTACAATGGCCCTACAACTCAGAACCACTCGCAAACCCCAAACCCAAACGATATTCCGCGCCATGCCACGCTACGGCCGTGGCAGTCCCAGCGCCTGCATTGACCAGTCCCAGAGCAATCGGTAGTGCTCCGCAGCTGCCTTGGTAGGCTTTCGGGGTTCTGCATTTCTGGATTTAGGGGCTTGGGCATTTAAGGGTTTGGGGTTCAGGGGATTAGGGCTTCGGAGGGTTTCGGGGCTTAGGGATTTAAGGGTTTAAGGGTTAATTAGGGCCTTTGTGATGTTCAGGGGTCATGGGTTCTGCTCGGCCCGGGCTCACCTAGTTAGGGTTGAGGCTTTGGCTTTGGCCACAAAAGCGCTCGGGTCTGAGGGGGTACACTGAGAAAGAGGAGGACTTGCGTTAAGGAATATTCATAAACACAACATATAAGGCCTCATACTGTCATTTCAGAAGGTTACATAAGATGGTCTCTCTGGGTAGGTTTTGGAAACCCTAAACCCTAACCCGACACTTCAACAGAGGCTCGGGAAAAACCTTTCGAAAAGGACCAGAGCCATCCGGTTGGGGATCGTATGTTCCAGAAATGATGGCACATCCATCCTTGCCCAAAGGGGTCCAAGGTACCTATATTATATACTGGAATGCAGGGTTTCTATATTGATATTGTGAATCCTTATACCATGATTTGGGAAAGTATCCCCCGTAACAGTACTTAAGACTCTTTGGGTTGCAGCTGCTCAAACTGGCCTTGCAGCGCTCTCACCTGGAAGACCGGGTCGTGGTTGGCGCAGACCAAGCGAAATCAAAGTGACTGTGCTGCGCATAAACTGCATGCAGTTCAACTTCACGCGACCGCTGTTCGATGTCTACCTCCTCACTGTCCTGCATCGGCTCCTCCGCATGCTTTGCTGCTATGTCAATCATCTCGTCCTCTACATCCCAACTTTCGGCCCTAACAGCCTCCCGGTGTGTGAGAAGAAGGAAATCAAAGGAGCAACACCATAGGTAGATATGTTAGTTTATAAGTAATGTGTATTAAAAAGTATACACAATATACACTTCCCTCCATCCATCCATCCATCCATCCATCCATCCATCCATCCATCCATCCATCCATCCAACGATAAATAGATAAGTAGATAGATAGGTAGAAAGATAGCTAGGCAGTCACAAAGCTAGATAGCTGGATACATAGATAGATGAATGGATGGATAGTTAGATAGATAGATGGATGGATAGACAGATAGACAGATAAATAGATAGACCGGTAGATAGGTGGGTAGATAGTTAGATACGTAGTTGGCTAGATAATGATAGACAAACACATACATGCGTGACAAGTACGCATGTAAGTATGCATGTATCATGTCATGTCTGTCTGTCTGTCTGTCTGTCTGTCTGTCTGCCTGCCTGTCTGTCTGTCTGTCTGTCTGTCTGTCTGTCTGCCTCTGTTCATGTGAGGATACATACATACATGCATACGTATATACCTAGACCCACACAACAAAGATGTTGTAAGGATTCCTGAGTCAGCCACCCTCGTTTGAAGAAGCCGCCTGTGACGGGGTCCCCAAACGTTGAAAATTGGAAGAGGGTTGGCAGGGCATTTTCGAGCAGATTCGAGTTGTGAGCAGGAAATTGTACGCTAAATCCTACACCACAAGTCCCATTTGAGCCTTCATTTAGCTCCTAAGGACACCCTAAGCCCTTTAATTGAAGCTTTCAAATTTTAAAGGCGCACTGACACCTAAACCCTGAATTAAACTCTGAAGATTCCAACTCCAGGTTCTTCTGTCATTGAAGGCTTAGGGATTGAGGATTAGGGTTGCGGGTTGAAGGAAGTTTAGGGTTTAGAGATTAGGGTTCCGCATTCAAGGAAGTTTAGGGTGTTTTGTAAAAGTTGGGGTGGGGCGCATTTGGTTGCCCGCCCGAATCGGCTCCCAACTGGTGCATATTGCATCTCAAAACATGTATGTTTGTTGCACCACATAAAATCGCCCCTCAGCGCTCACTCATGTTCTCAATCATCCCAAACGGCAGCCAGACCGAAATCACCCACATCAGCTCGACCGAGCTCTCGACACCCCAACAGCTGCATGAGCTCAGGTTTCCAGGAAGAGGCACAAAGTCAGTTGCTGGTGAGCAGACTGGTACACGGCAGGGCGATGTAATGCGGGATACAGTCAAAGTGCACAACCATGACCAGGCTGTCGTACTGGAGGACCAGGTAGAAGGGCTCTCAGTCAATGTGCACAACCATGGACATGCTGTCATACTGGAGGACCATGTAGTGGGGCTCACAGACGTGCTTGGCCAGAACAACAACGAGGACCATGTAGTAGGGCTCACAGACGATGTGCTCGTAGAGGACCATGTAGGAGGGCTCACAGACGATGTGCTCGGCCAGAAAGACGAAGAGGCAGTCCACGACGAAGTAAGGTTCCACGGCATCAGCCGCCAGCCCAACACATACGACCGCCCAAAGGAAGAGGTCTGCAAGGTCGAATGCCACATCCACGAACTTGGCACGGTCGCCCTAGAACCAGAGCTCACCCAGATCACCCCGTGCACCCTGGGTCGACATTTGAGTCGTACTGGTAGCACACATTTGGGAGGTAGAAGAAGCAGAGGAAGCATCTTCATTCAATTTCTATGTTGCTTGCGCTGACCCAGTACTGGTCACAGATGGCGGAGCTCCCGACGAGGAAATCCTCTACCATCTTGGCCCTCCATGCAGCTCCCTGATCATAGCAAACGTGCGCCCCAGCACCATTGCACGAGACATACGCCCCGGGTTTGATCTGGGCGGACAGCTCTGTTCTTGTAGGCGAGGCGGTAACGTGGTAGGATCGACCCATCAAGTGTGCTGGTGAGTGATGCTGCCCCACAACCCCAAAACCGACACCAAAGCACTCAAAAAGCTGGTGATGCATTGTGGCACATCAAAACTGGGCGAGCAGCCTCTGCAGGGCAACAAAACGTGGATCGGTTTTCCCGATGAGCCGCCTTTTCGGCAGCCGCTTTTCGAACTGCTTCTTCGCGAGAAGATCAAACTTAGCCGGGTGACCTTCGCCATGGTGTTGAGCTCTGGGTTGCTAAGGTGAGCCACGTCGTCCTCCGACAGAAATGGCCCCACATGTGACAACTCTTGTGTGCTCTTCTTTTGCTTCTTGTCACCACCTGCATGTGACATCTTCTCCGACACGACCGTGATCAAGTGGTCCTTCTGCCCAGCAGAAAACGGGGAGTCACTGATTGCCTCCATGATGGGCTGCATGTTCTCATGGGTCAGGGTCGTCGCTCTCAGCTGCTGCACCAGCGAATGGTGTTGTGCAGTCAAGACATGATGCCGAGCTGTTTCGTCCTGCAGTGTGCTCATGATCGCCTTCACGGCAGCGAACTGTTGCAGCATGTTGAGGCGAGTACACCCGCTCTGGACTGCGAGCCACCAGCGGAATAGGCCACTGGCATAAGTCACAGCGGCACCGGCTTGATATGTGGCGGAGTGCCACACCCTGCCGTCACCGGCCGCCGCCGTCGGGGGCCCCGCTGCACCTTCGCCTCCAAGCGGAGGTCGCGTTCGTGCCGCTTGTGTACGACCCCGTGTGTGCGCCCTCTGCGGACAGGCGGTAGTTTTGCCATTCCCGGAGATTTCGGCGGACGGCATCTAGGCTCCCGAGTTCATCGCGAGCGACGGGATTCCAGGGAGAAAACCATTCGGGCATTGGATCCTCAACACCAACGTCTGTGTCCGGGGGCACTTCCCGAACGAGTCTTTGGGGACACTTGCTGTGGAGATGTTGGCCGGGTCTAGGGTCTGGGGTTTAGGGTTGAGGGTTTCAGGTTACGCAGCAAGCCCTCAAGGCCCCAAACCCGGAAACCCCAAACTCGAAACCCTAAAACTCTAAACTCTACGCCCGAAAACCCTACCTAGACCCCCCAAATTACCCTCCATCATACCCCAAATCCCCACTTTTTTGAAGACCATACAAGGTCGCTAGTAGAGGGCCCTTTTGTCGGGGGGTGCTGGTATAGGACCCTGAGCTCCAAACGTCTTAAAATTCCAGGATCCTGAACTTGGAAGAGCCAGCCAACAGTGTGCCAAGAAGCAAAGAGGGCTCAGCAAGCCGAAGGCGGATCCCTTAACCTTCAGTGGCGGTTTGGGGTTTGGAGAGAAGGGGTTCAGGGTCTAAGTCGTTAGTCTTGAAGGTTTAGGGTTCAGGCGAGTGGGGTTTCAGGGTTTAGGGTTTAGGGCTTCGGGTTGGAAGGCTTAGGGTTTAGGGTTTAGGGTTTAGGGTTTAGGGCTTAGGGTTTAGGGTTTAGGGTTTAGGGGTTTAGGGTTTAGGGTTTAGGGGTTTGACGGCGAGGTGCTACATGGGGCCAGTATAAGCTTCTATCAACTCTCAAGCCCCCCAGCTCCCCCTCATTGTATCCTTTTCGGAGATAGGAATTTTGGGGTGTGCGGATCTGGGCTTCTCCTGTTGGGGTTCCTGCTCTGGGCTGAGAAGGCTGTGCCAAAACATGGAACAGCCTACAAGTGTTTCAGGGTCCGGGGTTTGGGGTTTCATTCGGGTTTAGGTTCAAACGCCCATAGGAACGCCTGAGAAAAAGGTGTGTTTCTTCAGTTTCTTCTACAAGAGGCCCTTGACAAGACCTGCACCAGAAGGCACCGATGCTTCAGTAGCACACGATTCTTGTCAAGCCTGACACGCGCGTTTTATGTGAAAGCCTTATTAATTCAACTAGAATAGGATGTTGGGGTATATCATAGCAAGAATCTATACAACGGGATACTGTCACCAATTATTCGAGCCCAATACAAGCACACGTGTGGGCTCACTCGAATTACACCTTTGCGGTAGCCAAGACACAGCATGCAAGTCTAGCCACCTTAGGATGGGTTGCGAGTGCTCGGAACCTTCGCGCAGGGTCGAGATGCACCCTAAACCCTAAGCCCTAAACCCTAAACCCTAAGCCCTAAGCTCTAAACCCTAAAACCTGAAACCTGAACCCTAAGCCCTAGACCTTCTTAAGCCCTAAGCCCCTACACCGGTCAACTGCAAGCTGGTCCGATCGCTTAGGGCTTCGGCTTTCAGGTTGCAGGATCCAACCTATGTTTGGGCTTCTTTAAGGTGCAATGGAGTGGACTGGTTTAGGGTTTAGGGTTTTTTGGGGTTTAGGGTTTAGGGGTTTAGGGTTTAGGGTTTTTTTGGGGTTTAGGGTTTAGGGGTTTAGGGTTTAGGGTTTAAGGTGCAATGGTGCGGACTGGTTCTGGGTTTAGGGCTCTGGGTTTAGGGCTTAGGGCTCAGAGGGCTTAGGGTTTAGGGCTACCGACCCCGGATCAGAACTATTGAAGCAGTGCCCTTGCCCCAAGCTCGAAACCCCAAACACCTATACCCTCAACACATAAATCAAACACTAAAGCCGAACACCTGAAACCCTAAACCCTGCTATACTCTACAACTCTAACCATAAACCGCTACACCACTAAACTCACAAACGCCTAAACCCTAAACCACTACAAGCTCCACAACCCCTCAACCCGAAACCCTTGGCTTATCCGATTATCCCAAGTAGCCTACACACTTAAACCCTGCACCCCTAAACCCCTAAACCCCAGAATGACTTAGAGGGCCTACCTAAATCCTAAACCCCTAAACCCCATAATGATTTAGATAGCACCTAAACCGTAAACCCCTAAACTCTATAATGATTTAGGGGCTTACCTAAGCCCTAAACCCTAAACCCCTCTACCCTAAACCTGAAATACTAAACCCTAAACCCCTAAACCCCCACACCCTAAACCCTAAACCCCTAAACCCTAAACCCGGGCTATGGAGGTCGGGAGCCCCGAACCCGAAATGTCAGGAAGGTGGCGATCGCAGCGAAGCCTGAGCCGCCCAGGTAGCCTGGATTGATTTGATAAGGCACTTAATAAACTTTAGGGTTGAAGGGTTTCGGGCTTAAGGCTTATAGGGTTTTGGATTTAGGGATGTTATAAGGCCTCTATGTGGATCTAGAAGGGCTTTAACTTATTTGGGTCCTTTCAGTAGGGCTTTTTGTTTTACAGTATCGGGCTGCCCCCCCAGCCCCTCAACCCTAAACCCTAAACCCTGTAAGGTTTGTTTTCGGGTTGAGAGCCCAAGAGGTGAAGAACTGCTGTCCACGAGGGCTCAGAATAGCCCCTACTTGAGTTCAGGATTTATAGGGCTTTGTGTTAAAGCCCTAACCCTGGGGGTTTAGAGCTTAGAAGCCCCAAGTCTGGGTTTAGGGTTTAGAAGCCCCAAATCTGCGTTTGAGGGTTTGGCCTTCGGGGTTTAGAAGCCCAATAAGCCTTCAAAGCCTCCCAGCCCCTAAACCCTAAACCCTAAACCCTAAACCCTAAGCCACGAAGCCCATGGCCGCACCCTCCGGCGGCGCAGCTGCAGAAAGAGCGCCGGTAATGAGGAGTCCTCAGCTGTGTGCCGGGATAAAAAAGTAAAGCTCTGCTACAAGACAAACTTCAACAGTAGTAGTGGTGGTAGCAGCAGTAGTTGTTGCTGTTGTTGTTGTTGTCGTAGTAGAAGTAGTAGTAGTAGTCGTCGTCGTCGTCGTCGTCGTCGTCGTTGTCGTCGTGGAAGCAGCAGCAGAAGTAGTAGGAGCAGGAGGAGAGTAGTAGTAGCAGGAGTAGCAGAATGTAGTGAGAGCAAAAGCACAACGGTGAAGCAAAATGACTATGCACATACATAGAAAAATATACACATGTATGCTCTCGGTTTACAGTTCGGGGATTAAGGGCTAACCACACCGCTTGCTCGGAATCGTTAAAGGGATCTTGATGTAAGTTAATGCATGTTCTTGTTGGTAAAACTGATAATTATGAACTTCGAGCTCAAGAGGTCTCTGTCCTAGGCGTGAGGAATAGCTCATGTGGCCGTGCTTTGATCCCACAACGCTTCACGGGTCTTATGGGGCCTTTATGGCGTTTTCGCATTAAGGGTTCTAGAACCCTAAACCCTAAACCCTAAACCCTAAACCCTAAACCCTAAACCCTAGGGTTTTGTAAGGCTTCTAGTTTAGTAGGCGTCGGTCCTATCACCAACACACGAGGAACTATAGTAAACCCGAAAAGTTGGAAGCCGGTTAGTGCCGGGTTTCCCTATACGTTACAGTATACTTTTGAGGATTGAGGCTATGGGTTTCCAACTTTGGGGCTCTTACTGTTGATGATATTATTCCTGCATTGCCTGAAGGACCAAAACTATGGGAATTATGGTCTATTCCTTATTATGGGTAATGCAGGATTTATAACATCAACCGTACTGTACGACCTAAACCCTAAACCCTAAACCCTAAACCCTAAACCCTAAACCGTGACCATAGGCAAGTGCAGGGCAGAAGACGGCGGTTCTTCCTTGTCGTCTTACCCTCAAGACCCCCATGTAAAGGCCATAATAATTGGAATAGGGTTTGCGGGTATATTGCACCATAACTATAGCAAGGAAGCCCCAAAAAATAGTATAGGTAATCATTCGGGCTCGAATAGTAACCGTTAAC